GCGGGACAGGTTGTCCCAGGAAGCAGGGACTGCCGTGGGGTAGAGAAGTCTCAGCGGCAGCAGAGCAGGTCAGAGGCAGTCGAGGAGAAAGGCTTGTGTTACAGCATGAAGACAGGAGCAAGTGCCGAAGCTTGGCCAGCCCGGGCACTTAATACAAATCTCCGGAGAAAAACTCAGAACGGGAGGGCGGAGCCCGCAGTGTAACAGATGTTCCTACCCTCACCTATGGCCATGAACTCTGGATCATGTCCAAAAGAATGAGATCGCAGATACAAGCAGCAGAAATGAGTTTCCTCCGGAGAGTGGCTGGGCGCACCCTTAGGGATAGGGTGCAGAGCTCAGTCACCCGCAAGGAGTTCGGAGTAGAGCCGCTGCTCCTCCATGTTGAGTGGAACCAGTTGAGGTGGCTCGGGCACCTGTTTAGGATGCCCACTGGACGCCTCCCTGGGGAGGTATTCGGGGCTTGTTCCTCCGGGAGAAGGCCTCAGGGTAGACCCAGAGCACGTTGGAGAGACTATTTCTCCTGGCTGGCCTGGGAATGCCTTGGGGTTCCTCCTGAGGAGCTAGAGGAGGTGTGTGGGGAGAGGAAAGTCTGGGAGGCTCTACTCAGGCTACTGCCCCTGCGACCCGGTCTCGGATAAAGTGGACGACGATGGACGGATGGATGTAACACGTACAATGAAAATTGGTTTGGAGCAGAGGGCCATGGGCCGTTGTGTGCATACGCGCCGCCATCGCAGGCAACTTGGGGAGTGCAGTGTCTTGCCCAAAAACACTTCAACATGTGGACTGCAGGCACCGAGATTTGAATCTTCAACCTTCCGTTTTGGAGACGACTGCTCTAACCACGTAAACAGTTGGTTTACACTTTTTCAAGCAGATGTTATAAAACCACAGAAAAATTAGTTGTGAAAGAAAAGAAAAAAGAACCAGAGAGTAGTAAATCATTCGCTCATTTCTTATTTCCATACAGCTGACCAGTGTGAAATGCTTGTGAATGTGCCAGAAAGGTTTCAGAACATTACAGAATTAGTTTAGTTAGTGACATCCCTGGCATCACCTTGTATTGCAATCACAGATGCATTTGCAATTTTCCTGACAAATGCATAGGCTGGGGACCATGAGATCAAATACGACTGAGCTCACTGATGAGGCTCAACTTACAGTGGAGTTGGCCCAGGGGAAGAACATCCCGAGACAAAACAGACCAAGAACAGGACCACCAACCATCCCGAAGCCTTTCCAAGTCACCTGGAGTTCAAACATATTATCATTCAGTGCAGACCTGGTGAGAACTGTTTGTTACTGTTCCTCGTGCAACCTGTGAACTTACTTGTAGAACTGAATCCCCCGTTAGGTGAATGAGATAGGCCATGGCCAGACACAGCAGCCCATAGGACATAGCTTAATGAGAAGACACAAGCTGAAACCTTAAAACAAATGTGTTGTTATTATGCAGTTACGTAACATGCATTGCTGAAGTTAAAGCTTCTGGGAGCAAACCTAAGGCTTTAGACAGGAGGGTTGCTCTTGCTTCTGCCATGGCTGGGAAATGTGGTTTGATAAGGTCCTCCATTGTCACAGTGGCCAAAGAGTTAAAAGCAGAGGAGACGGTGCTGCACAGGAAAAGCAAGAAATCATACATATCACTGACACCACCTTTAAAATACTTCAACTCATTCTAGTCTAATCAAAATGTAATGACTATAACTTCTGTTCCCTGAAGGAGAGGAACGAGGTACAACACATACTGTATGGGATATCACAACCCACACGTGTCCTGGCTGAAGACACCTCTGTTCATTCTTTAAGGCTGACAACTTGTGGTGACCTAAGTGTGGCCCCGCCTGCACTTATAAACCACTGTCACCACTGTTGTCCCCCAGTTCAATGACCACTCTTCGCCAAGCTCAGATGTGAAGTGGGGCAACAATGTGTCGCACCTTGTTCCTCTCCTTCAGGGAACAGAAATTATAGTCATAACATTTTGTTCCCTTTCAGTTGATTCACTCAGTACAACACATATTGTATGGGACATATATTCACAGCCCACAGAACAGCCATCAAACCCAAAGGCAACAACCCCAACACTCTAGTGCATCGTGGACCCAGCAGAGACGACAGAAGGAGCCACCGCTGTTACATTCAGATGTTAAAACTGGAGAAAAGTATGTTAGGACTCATAGGGTTCATGTTAGGTATAATTACAAACTAAAAACAACACTGTACCTGAGAGCTGCACTGAACAAACATGCAACAAACAGTCCAGGAAGTCCAGGCAGGCCTTCCAGCATATCCATCACAAAGTATATCACCATCTGTGGAAAACACAGTTAGCAGTTTGGTTTGCATAAGATTCACCAGAACAAAATACAAATCGGCACATTGAAGGTCCCAGTGACGTCATATTTACACAATTTGCTGGAAGCAGATATTATAAAACATGTAAATACCCATGCTGCTGTCGTTTGCCTGTTATGAACCCGGGAAGGTTCTTTATAAACACCTGCATAAACCTAATGTTAGATATTAACTGTGTAAGACATTGCAACTTCAGGCATTAACACTTCACTGTGCACACAAGAATATATATATTGAAGAAAACACTAGTATCTTTATACACTATATGAAATATTGATGTTCCTGTATGATTGCAGCACAAACACTGTTTGGAAATTCTTATCTTAATATGACACTGTTTTTGGAAATAAAAGTGTGGCCTTCATTTGGTCATAGTATACATACATGATTACATGCTGTGGAATATTAGACTGTTTGAAGACACTGTAACTGAAGCACCAGTCTTCACTTAAATGGAATGTAACTTTCACTGAGTTTGAAGTATGAGCACTGTTTCATGTAATTGAACTAAACAAGAATGTAACCTTTAACCATGTTTTAATTAACTACAATGTGTATCCACTCTAAACACTGTGATGTGCTCATGAGAGTGATGCTCAGCACTGCTTCACATGGAGGGAGTCACAGCAAGGAGCAGAATGATTGAAATCAGTGGACATAAGATGTCTGGCTACACTCCACTGTTTTACATTTAATGAACTGATAAGGACAAGTTTTAACTTTCTCAGCATTACTGAGTGTTCATGTAATCATTATGTGTATGTGTGCCTTTGATCACAGAAAAAGTACCTTGGTTTTAGGGAGGAAGGTTTAACTGTCATGAGAGAAGTATTGTGTATGGTGGGATAGAAACTTTGGTTGGGTGCTGATTGATCTCAGCTGCATCCTAAGGAATGTAAGTAGGCGGGAAGAATAGTATATAATACAATGTTAGAAAGATCAGAGATCAGATCATTTTGGCTGTTGCTGTGATCTCCAGATGCGCATCTGTGAATAAAAGGTAATTATTAATTAAGTGCACTTTGGTATTTTGTGGTGTATTGTGACTGAATATTTTTTCCATCATCTGAAACCCGATGAGGAAGTGGCAGACTTCCGACAC